AAGGCTGACTTGGTCTCCAGACCTGGTCTAACTTTATCGGGCGCCGCCCTCCCTCCGGAGACCGCGCGGCACGACAATGCGCGTCTCTGTGTAGGAACCAGCTGCGCAACAAACCACGTCCATAGGAGGGTTGATGCAAGAAGAGGATAGCCATAAATCAGTATCAGGGGAGGGGGAGGGTGAGGGGCATGGGGGATAGGATAGTAACAAAAAACCGAGTATGACGGCAGAGGGATTTATCCAGTACGGCCGTTACTTTAAGTCAATCACGGAGAGATTTTCTTCATTCAGTGAAAAAAGGGGCGGGAAGACCAGGGTATGAGAGGAGCACGTGGCACACAGAGGTATGGGAATGTTTACTTGAGAGAGAGGACTTGTAGATACCATTCTATTCGTAGAGAAAAGGCAATAACTGCTTAATTTATTTGTTGAAGAAGACTGCGCCCATGCAAAGAGATAAAACACGCAGTTTGCCCCTCCAAAAATGGCCGAGAATTTCTTGAGACCATGCACTCCGACGATGCATGCATTAACCGCCACATAGACTTGGATGATATTTACAAACACGTCAAAGAACGGTGGAAAAGATGAAGGCCGCACAACACAGACTGACTGATGCTATATCTACCAATCAGGTCTCAGGTCCGCGCATTTGAAATTTTAGTTGTTCATTGCAGAGTTTCTGTTAGTCCGACTACGATCTCAGGAATCAGACTCGAAAATTCACTAATTAAAGTTACTCTGTTATCCCAGAGAACGTCTTCTTCGCCAAATTAAAATTTCTTGGCATGTGTGTTTTCCAGTTTATTCGAACAATAGAGAAATGTTTGAGTTTCGTTTCGAGTAAAGTATACAGCATATAGTTTAGGGTATGTATAAATGCGAGTCGGGTTCAAAATCATTCTGGAATTCCGACAGTTTTTTTTCTAATCCAAAGGACGCTCTTGGCTGAAATACACAAATGAAGGAGGGTGAAATTGATTACCAAATGAATAAAAAGGCGCATTTTCATTTATGTTTTCTGTACAACATATTTCAATTTATAAGAGTATAAAGAACCAATATGGGAAATTCATAGCACTTAAACGGTCGTTTTAATTGATTTTCGGTTTTTTAAAGTTCATTGAAAGAAGCCATCCGAAAAACGGCCTCTCTAGTCCTGACTGAAAGATCAGTGTTCCGACCCCAGCCGAGTAATCCTTGCTACTCGAGAACACATTTCTGGATTTTGATTTTAATTTCACGAGGTTGGCTAGTTACTGTTGAATTCGTTAGTCGAACTCCTGGAGACAGTAAGTCACTGGAACATTTAACTGGGCAACAAGGATTAAAAACTTTGAAATAAGCAGAATGTTATCCAAGTTTTTCGTTCATCCCGTCCACCTCATAAAGCGTCCAGAATTTGTCCTGCGACGAGTATAAAACCGGTTTAATTAAATCCTATCGAGGATGCCAATGACACTAACTAGAAATCACCTGTTTGAAGTAACTTTGGCAAAGTGCTTTTTTCCTGGGTCAGATAACAACAGACTAGTCATTAATCAACTATTTGTTTGAAACAATACTAGGTAGTCAGATAAGCCTCTGAAGGCGGCCGGACCACTTTTACCACGGTCCTGCGGCTTTTCATTCCTCTTTAAACTAACGAATGTTTCGGGGAGAGAGGGAGACAGAAAATGTCATAAAACCGGCCCGACAAGAAGACTTTGAAGTGAAATAGCGCTTTCAATCAGCTTTCTGTTTCCCACGAAAGCTTCTGTCTGAGTGTATGTGTGTGTGCTTTGCCTCCGAGAACCCAGGCACTAAAACAAAACCCGCACTGTTAGCTGTTTATCTGTCTACTGAGAAAACTGTCTTCTGATTGCAGGGCAGATAATCATATTCCGCTGGAAGTTATGGTCTCACCAAGGAAAGTTAAGCCCATTTTGTCATTATAGGCTGAAATGAGTGCGCGGAACGTAGAAAACAAGGAAAGTCATTTAAAAACGATGACAGTAGCCTGTGAAAGAGTAGTTTGTGGTAAGATGAGGAAATATGCCCGATAAACAAGAACATCTCGATTGAACTGAGCAAATAAACTTTTACATACAGGGACTTTAACAAAATTGCAGTGGCGATAAATATGGTGAAAACTGGGCAATAAAGCTCCCTAATTTGAGAGTTCATCCTCAGGTTGAAACACTTCCTAATCAATCGTCAATTTTTTTAAAGGCTTTGCCCTCATTGACTTAAATTTCCACCGATTTTGATGGGCTCAGATAATGAAAAGATATGCGACCCTTCTTACTTTTTACTTTCGAGAAATGCCTATTTGTGCCAATTGGATAGAGTTAAGTTAGTTTCCTTTTATTTCGTCATTTAACCGTCACGCCCTCCCCCCCCTAAATGTTACTGCCTTCGAGGTTTACTTTTTAAATAAGGTTATAGGTTAATGTTAATAGTTAAGGTAAGGTTAGTGATTAAAGGTTAGGGTTGTGTTCAGGCTTAGGGGGTTACGATTAGGGGTTTAGGGTTATTGTTGCATTTTAGACATAGTTTGAGGATTACGGGCAAGAGCACAGAAGTTCAGATGAATAAAATTACGATGCCGGTGATCACAACGACTTCTTCTTCTAGATTACGGGTTAGCCTATTAATAGATTCAACTTCAATTGTATTTCCAATCGTGGTTATCACAAGAGTCGGGTTCAGCGATATATTCAATTTATTTTCCTGAAATTTGATTGACCATTACGGACTATGATCAGTTCGCTTGTACTATCTAGATAATTTCAACGGTACTCATTTTTTCGCCCGTTTTCATCTCCAAAGTCTCAGTATTTAAAATTTT